GCATCAACAAGACAGAAATGATGTGGGTTTGAAACATGACTCCAGCACTGCCAGGCTTCCCAGGACCCTCTGGGTCTCTAACTACAGGTCAGGTGATAGGTTAGAACTCAATTCCAAGAGCCAGAGGTCAGACAGAGGCTTAAACTCACTACCGTCCAGTCGATTCTGATTCATAGTGACCCTACGGACTGAGAGTAGAACTGCCCTGCTGGATTTCCAAGACTATAACTCTTTACACGAGTAGAAAGCCTCGTCTTTCACCTGTGGAGTGGCTGGTGGTTTCGAACTGCGGACCTTATGGTAGTAACCCAACACATAACCGCTATGCCACCAGGGCTCCTTTGGCCAGGCTAAAAGGTATGCTGGGATTCAAGTCAAAATGATCTACAAGTCTTAACGGTCTGTCTTAAGTAAGTATCTAAGTGAGGTGTCAACTAAGTTCACATGGAAAAAGCATACCAGCCCGTGTGATTCAAGAATTGTAAATGATGAAATCCAAATCTAGAGGAAGGAATGGTATTAGAACTTTACTTAAGGATCCCCAGTTTGCAGAAGGCTGTGGATGACAGTGGAAACCCAACATCCATTTGGGGGTTCTCCACATGGATTAAGCCTCTGAACATAGTCAAGGGGTGTGAATGTTCTGCTATCGGACAGAGGGCATTGTAAAGTGGATTATGGCAGATATAGTTAGGTTAAAAGGTAACGCCTTACCATTTGCTCTTCCTTTTGGCCCATTTTAAAGTGGTTTCCATTCCTAATATTTTCTTTCTTTTCCATTGAGGTTTACTCTGTGTTTTGTCTAGTTGTTGCTGTTGCTTTGTTGTTGTTGCTGTTTGCTTCCTGTTTGTGTTCTGTATGATTTCACATATATGAAATGCAGGAGAGGTAAATCTCTAAAGACAGTAGCTAGATGACTAATTACCTAGGGGAAATGGGGAGCTAACAACAATGAGTAGTAAGAAGAACATGCTCTGAAATTGATTGTGGTGAGGACACGACTCGTCTTCATATGATGGGACGATTAAATTGCATGATATGTTGAAGTATATGCCAATAAAACTATGGTGGGGGGGGGATGGGGAAGAGAGGCTCCTCAAGTCTTGTGCCAGCCGGCTTGTTGGGTGGTACCTGAAGCTTGATGGGTGTTCATCACAGGTGACCCAGCACTGGTCTTCTGTGCATGCGGTGTCAGCAAGGGACATCACAAAGATGGCTGTGATGGAGGGCGTGGTCTTGCTTCTGCAGATCATACTTCCAAGGGACTCAAAATATATCCCACTGTGATCCTCTCAGCTAACTCCCTCCAAAGTAGGCCTACAACCACCGGAGCATCAAACCAAAACTACTGCCACTGAATCCATTCCAATTCACCAAGACCCTACACATGAAGGGCTGCGGCTCGAAGGGCCAGTAAGTAATTCACTCCCTCTCACTGACTTCATGGGTACTATTAGGGGGCGTGGGCAAGGCAGGGCAGAGAGGAGAGGAGGGTCTCCAGGGTTTCCGGGAATGGTCTCATTCTGCCCCTGCCCCTGCCCCTTCCCAGGAAATCTGAGTCAACTGGGACCTTTTGTGTCTCAGGCTGTCCACTGAACACCCCGCCCAACTCCCAAGCAGAAATCAGTTCTTCCTCTCAGAGTGATTTGTATCTGAGTCAGGACAGGAGTGTGTCACCCGGGCCAGCCTGGCAGAGGGGACCCAGTTCTTTTTGGCATCCTCCATTTGTGTCACACCCCTCTGTAGCTTTAAGAACAAGCAAGATAGGACAAGAGGCTAAAGCTGAGCTCCCTTGGGCCCACCACATCCGCTCTGTCCACATTGAGGTCGAGGTCGGGCATCAAAACCAAATGGGTCTCCATGGCTCTGGGAACGTGGTGAGGCTTTTGTTGCACAATGGCCCGTTAGGCGGGGAGGTCACCCTGGGCTGCGCATGCCCAGGGCACCCAGCAGCAATGTGACATGATCTTGGAACAAGAAGTGTGTGTAGATCCATGTCCAGGAGTGTGTGCGCAAGCATGTGTATGTACACACACAACACACACCAGTAAAGGCACAGAACCCAGAATAGAGGGAAACCACGCGGAGCTTGGAGGTGATCCTGCCCAAAGAGGACTGGGAAGGAGGGAAGAGGAGAGAGGAATGGATGGGAGAACAGGAGACAGTTCCCAGGTCACACACCAGCAGGCCCTCCACGCCGCACACATCTGCCTTCACGCAACATCTGCAGAGTCCTGACAGGTAACCACCTAACAAGCCCCGAAGTCCCACCACTCCACTCCCGGTGCCCCTAGAAGCCTTCCTCGGGAGCCCAGCGGCCTCCACCAGCCCTCAGAGTTTGAACACCGCTTGGCGTTCACCTGATCCAGTCCCCACCTCCATGCCAGGTATTCACACAGGAATTTGAGCAAAACGGAAGAAGCCAGGCTACCCAACCACTCAGCCTTAGTCACCGTCCATGTAGAGTGACTACTAGGCAGCTCACAAACGCCCCTGGGCCTGGATTCCAGGCCTCCTGGGGCCTTCTGCACTGGGAGCCCTTGCCTCTCACTTCCTGTAGCCAAGACCTTCTCTGTTAGACAGGAGAATGAGGCCTTTGGGACCAATACTCCTTCGATGTCTCCTGTCGTGCCTGTAATTCCATCTCCACACGCCATCCCCAGCTCCACGCAGCAAACTAAGACTCTACCTCTGGGTCAGGCTGATCCCCTAGTAGCCTATCTGCCTCCTTCCTTCTGGAAGCCTGCGCCCAGCACCAAGCACTGTGGGCTCCCATTGCCCCTACTGCTACCACATCTCTGAGGACAGCACACAGTCCAGTACCTTCCCTGGATGAGCCCCTGTTTCTAGGTGGACTAGAGGGGGTAGCCTGGGGTCCCTGCCGCCCAGACACACGGAATCGTTCCTTGCTCTATGCTTCCCCAGCCAAATAGGCTTCTCATTTTCCACTCCCAGAGCGCTTCTCTTTGGAATTCTCTCGCTGTCTAGTGCCAACCACACACCCAAAAGGCATGGAGGAGACCCATTCCCTGGGCCAACCGGCTGGGAGCACTGGTCAGAACTGGAGTGGGGAGGAGGGCCTGCTGGAGGCTTTAGCATGACAAGAACGCTCCCAACTGGGCTGCTAGCGTCTGGCTTCACTCGAGTCAGCCCCACCCTCTGCCAGGTCCACTCTCTGCCTCTCTGAGATCCCCCTCTCTGACGCGGACTCTTAGATCATCTTGTCAGATGCCAGAAAGAAGGGTAAAACCTGTACCTAACTGGAGTGGAAACATCAAGAAGCACTGCCCCATAGGGTGTCCAAGGCTGTAAATCCCACTGCAAGCAGATCGCCACCTCTTTCTCCCTGGGAGCAGCAGGAAGGTTCGAACCATTGACCCTTCGGTGGAGCATCTACCCACGGGGCCATCAGCGCTCCTTAGCAGCAACAGCAATGTGCTGAGTCTATGTTTAACTGTTGCCAGGGCCCTCCCGCTTTGCTGGCTGCCTTTCAGACCCCTCTGGAAGTGGGGTTATGTGGGAAAAGGGCAGCAATTGGAAGTCTCCACCAATTCAGAGGCTAAACTCATGCACAGTGGTGTCACTCTCCCTTAGACCCGATGACTCATGTCCAGGCTGTTTAAGTTGGGTCATTTTCTGCACACATCCAAAATCCTTTATGTCCATGCGAGGTCCAGCCAGCCGCAGGACAGAATCCACCCCAGGCTGCCCACCTCAGTGTCAAGTCCAAGCCCTACTCCCAAGAATGAAGAGGGCCACTCCGAGAAGGCCAGTGTCTGAAGATGGGGAATTCCCACCAAAAGGTTTAGCAAGTCCATGGCCAGCCTCCCCAGAGGACTACTTTGAAGGACACTTCTCTAACTTCAGGCAAGCATGGAGTCATGAGTGATGTCCTTTTGTTTCCACCTGACCACAAAGTCAATTCCGACTCATCAGGACCCCGTCCGTGTGTGTCAGAGTAGACCTGCGTCCACAAAGTCAATTCCGACTCATCAGGACCCCGTCCGTGTGTGTCAGAGTAGACCTGCGTCCACAGCGTCTTCGACAGCTGATTGTTCAGAACTGCATCATCGCGCCTTTCTTCCAAGGCACCTCTGGGGACACTCATATCTGCGACCCTTTGCTTAGCAGCAAGTGCATTAACCATTTGCCCAACCCAGGGCATGGGTGTCAGTAAAGAGACAGAAGAATTCCAGGAGTCAATCATGGGACTGTTGAAAGCACCTCTGAGGGTACTTTAATGACGTCCTGGTGGCGCTGTTGGGTAAAGGATGGGCCACTAACCACAAGGTTGGCGGTTCAAACCCACCAACGGCTCCTCGGGAGAAAGATGGGGCTGTTGACACCTGTACGGATTTACAAAGCCACAGAAGCCCTAAATAGGGTCACTATGAGTCTGAAAAGGAAGCCCTGGTGGCATTGTGGGTTACACACTGGACTGTTGACCATAAGATCTGCAATTCAAACTCACCAGCCCTTCCATGAGTAAAAGATGAGGCTTTCTGCTCCCATATAGAGTCACCGACCCAGAAACCCATAGGTGCAGCCCTACTGTGACCTGCAGGGGTCGCTGTGAGTTAGCACTCAGCCACTCAGGGAGTCCAGTTGTTGAGTCAAAATTGACCCAGTGGCCGTGGGTTTGGCCAGGAGGCTGGATAGTACAGGGACAAGAGCTCACACCTTTGCTTGCAAAAACTGGTGTTCACAGGTCTGACCTAAAAAGTCAGAAAAAAAAAACTGCATGGACATCGGGACACTCAACTGAAGCAGAGTGGGGTGTGTGTGTGTGCAATATTGGGGAGAAAGGCACCCCTGCTCAACAGCTAACATACAGTGCTAGTGCTGACGCTGGGGAACCCCAGATGGTAGGAAAACGGACTCACCCCTAAAGGCTCTCCTTCCTAAGAAAAAGCTGGAAATGGGAGCCACCACTTCAAAGCCCAACTGCCCCATAGCCTCCCACCCTCTCTGGCACCCAGGTCAACCCAACCCAACCCCATATGCTTAGCCTTCAATTTCAAGTATAGACTTCCCTTTCCGTGGACCCCCCAACGACACCCCCCTGCCCCCTCCCCCATTTGAAAGGCCCTCAAATTACCCGGGAGGCTGCAAGCATCCATGGGCAGCCAGAGCAGCTGGGGCTGAGAGAGGCAGAACTCGTGGCTTTCTAACACGGAAACGGATTTGAAAGATGTGCTTACAAAGAAAGGACCTGGGGCCTTGCATTTAATGACAAGATCAGATTCGGTTTACAAGGATCCAGATCCAATTTGAAGGTAAATTGTCTGTCTTTGATTAAGGCAAGCCACCGTTCGCCCACCCCGAGGTCTTCTTTGCTTTGTCATTTACTTATTAACCTTTCCCTTTGCCCAGAGATGCTGTATCTGAGTCATCTGTCACTCATTTCTCCCTAGGGCAGGTTCGGGTTGAAAATAGACCCCATCTCTGGTAGTTCACTGGTGGCAGCTAAGCATAGGGCAGCAGAGCACTGAGACACCAGGGTCCCCCGACTTGGGTAGCCCATCCTTCTCCTTCATCTCCTCCGCCCCCTACGGCTTCCACTATCTCCAGGACACTTTCCAACCCCAAGCCAGCCCATCCCTGCTCCCCGCTTACTTCCTGATCTTACCCAACCTTTGCCTGCTTCCCAATCCCAAACACTAGTTCATCCCTTCCCGCTGGCTAGCTGTCTCTTTATCTGCGCTCCGCAGAATCCCTCCCTGCCAAGCGCCCATTTCTGCCGCGGGAAGCCCTTCAATCGTCCACCCCGCGGTCCCGAGGTCGGTGAATCTCAGGGGATTTCCCACCGCAGGGCCCAGCTTCCCTCCAGGTGAGCAGCTTCTGGAAGCTTTTTGGGAACCTTCCAGCACAGTAACGGAGCTGAAGGGCCTCCAAACTCCCGGGCCCCCACCCAGCCTCCGCCACACGGCTGCCTGGGGCCTGCAGGTCCGCAGGGGCGGGGTGGGCGCCTCGCAGCCCCTGCTCCCTCTGGGCCCTAGAGCCAGCGATTCAGCCAGGGGGGCTCCCCGTTCTCACGTGCTCAGGGGCCAGCCGGGGGCCAGGAGAGAGGGTTGGGGTGCGGGTGCCAAGTCCGGGAGGGAGCGCATCGCTCTCAGCTACAACAACCCTGCAGCCCCAGCGCAGCCCGGCCG